ATTTCCTTAAGAGATATTCAGAAATTATTCCATTTGTTTAATTTTATTTGTCATTATATAAATGACACATACTTGTAGCAAAATAAAAGAAAGAGGAGAAAGGGAGGGAAGGGAGGAAGGAAGGAAATATAATTTGATTCTGCTGGTTTACATGAGGGAGAAATAAGGACAGTGAGAGAGGGAAAGTGAAGTTTTTTTTAAAAAGGTTGGATAGATAGGGAACTGAGAGTAGAATATGATTGAGAAATTAGTCTGCAAACAGTGCAGAGAACTAAGTAAAGGTGCAAATTTGATGTTCACTTTGGCTTTTAACCTACTGTCAACTGACTTACCAGCCCAAATCCTAGATTCCCCTAGGGGGAATTACGTTCTACACTGATTAAAGACAACTATGAAAGAAGAAACTCTAAAAGTTTTAAAAGAAAACGTAAAATATCTTTATGAACTAGACATGAATAAGGATTTCTTAAACAACATACAAAAAGAAATGTATATTTTTTGCCCACTAGATAGGTAAAAATTAAAGGTCTGAAAATAACAGGTGTTAGCAAAGCTGTGGATCACAGGGAACTCACACAGACACCGCTGGAGGACGTGTAAGTTGGAATAATTGGAATCACTTTGGAAAATAACTTGGCATTATCCTGTAAGCCTGAATATTTTTACACCTGCACATAACCCAGCAATTCCTCTCGTAGGTTTATACTGTAGAACAGTGCTTCTCTAAGCTTATCAAGCATCTGAATCACCTAGAAAGCTACACAATTTGGGGGCCTCACCCCTGGACATTCTGATTCGGTACACCCATGATAAAGTCCATGAATTTTATTTCTAAGAAGCACCCAGCTGATGAGGCTGCTGCTGGTTTACAACCACAGTTGGAGTAAGTAAAGCTTCTCCAGATTTCTTCACCTGGGTCTTTGGAAACAGGAACAAGAATGTTCAAATAGAAAAAGCAGAACACAACTCAAATATCTATCAGAAGAATGGGTAAATCAACTGTAGTATTTTACACAGTGGAGTATCATACAATATTGAAAAGGAATACTAAGTGGGCTTCCCAGGTGACGCTAGTGGTGAAGACTGCCTACCAATGCAGGAGTCATAAGAAACAGAAGATTGATCCCTGCGTGGGGAAGATCCCCTGGAGGAGGGCATGGCAACCCACTCCAGTATTCTTGCCTAGAGAATCCCATGGACAGAGGGGCCTGTTGGGATATTGTCCACAGGGTCACAAAGAGTTGGACACAACTGAAACTACTTAGCGTGCACAAACTCTAAGTATTTGTACTACTTGAACAAATCATCAGGGCCTAATGTTACGTCACAAAAGTAAGTCACAGAAAATCACATATCATGTGATGCCATTTTTATAAAACTAACAAATTAAATAATATGTTGCTTAGGTGCAAATACAGAGATTAAACTATGAAGCAAGACAGCAAAAAACAAAAATGAGAAAAGGAAGACTCATAACTAGATGCAAGAGTGTGGGTATTCTGGTAGCCTTTAAGAAGGGTGATGCGTTCTCATATGCTTCAGAATTGTCATTAAGTTACATATATGCTCTTGTATATGGAAAGCAGATACATAACAATTTGAAGCTATATTTAAAGAAAATTCTCACAGATTGAAGAAAGGTCTTGACTTTCTGATTAAAAGTAGTCCCCAAATACTGGCAAATTAATGCAGAAACTCACATTGACACATGCCTGGTAAAAGTTCCAATGTCAAGAATAAAACATGACTCCTATAAGCATCCTGACAGGACACAAGAGATAGAAAACAAGGAAGCTAACCAAACATAGACTAAAATTTGTGTTCACTTCAAACTTCTCTACAACAGCAACCACTACAAACAAAAAACTTTCAGAATTTACTTAAAGAATGTTTGAAAGGAAAGGAAAAATTATAATGCAATAAACTTGAATCTGCAGATTATAATGCTAATTATTATGAAAATGATGTGAAACTGATATTTTTTAAATGGAGATTTCAGTGGAAGAAAAAGTAGAAAAATCCATGTAATACGGATTTATTATATAGTATATATAATAGTTCTCATCAATATATGTATCATGATATACATATCATAAAATATATTTTATCTGCATATATTTATATATATATTTGTGTGTGTGTGCTCAGTCGCTCAATTGTGTCTGACTCTTTGCAACCCCATGGACTATAGCCAGTCAGGCTCCTCTGCCCATGGGATTTTCCAGGCAAGAATACTAAAGTCAGTTGCCATTTCCTCCCCTAAGGGATCTTCCCAACCCAGGGATCAAACCACATCTCCTGCATTGGCAGATGGATTCTTTACCACTGAGACGTGGGAAGTCCTTATATATATTTATATGTATTATATATAACATGCAATTTTATACATGTGTTATATAATACACATATTATTATATATGTATCATTTATATTATATATCATAATGTATACTATATTGTATATTAGTAGGTGTATCTTATATCAGTATATATATCTGTATATACTATATATATACTATGATATGCAATATTATAACAGTGTAATAATCATTACACTATATAGTATATTGTATAATACTATATAAAATAATGTATCTATAATATACATTACAATATAGTATATATGGCATATTATATAACAAATATGGTAATGTATAGTATGTATGTATAGTATGTATAATATACATACATATTTCATGCATATAAAATTTAGTTTGTGATAAAGGTGAGTTTAGGGATAGATTATTTACTATATCATGCTACAACAACTAGTAAATTATTTAGTCAATAATAGAGTTATTACCATGCACCAAAATATTTTTCAGTGAGTTAAAAGGTTAAATTTTTAAATGGTAATATAAAAAGAACTATAAAAAGTGTCAGGGAAGATTGATCTGATCCTTGTGTGAGGAAGGACTTTCTAAAAATAAAAGAAAAGGAAAAAATCAGAAGAAAAAGACTGATATGTTTTTCTATAAAATTGTTTAAAAATTCTCCATGTCAAAAACATCATAAAAAGTGATAAAAAGCAAACTACAAACTTGTACAGAATATTTGTTTTATAAATATTCCAAAGGATTCTTCCACTAATGTTAAAAGTTATGTTACAAATCAATGAGAAAAACATAGACATTCCATTGGAATATTGTGACTGTGATAATAATTTCACAAAGATTACTTCAAACCAAATTACAGTCAAGTAAGAGCAAATTGAACCAATGAGTTTTTCTTTTCGTTTGCATGATTGACAATGATGACATATTTGCCATTTTAAATATAAGGAAACCATATCTAACTGCCATCCTAAAGGTACTTAAAGTTAAATAAGGTAAATATTTGGGCAGGGCTTAGTGCTCAGGGAAGATCTGGAGCTATTCTGGTGACAAAGGCGCTTTGAGACTGTTCGGATTTATGCAGTTCACCAGAACTTTTTAAGCACCTAATGTTATAAATGACTACAAAAGTAGGGAGGGGGAAGATTATTAAGAGGCTTCTGCCTGAAAAGATGAAGGCTCAGAAGCAAAGTTGATGTCTTTAAGATCTTGAATAGCATGCCTGTACTCAATAGGATGTCCACTGAATTCCAGAATTGGCAAGGAGGGAGGAAGCTCCTAAACAAACTAGGTGGCCCTGTTTATATGATGAGTTATAAACACTTAAGTCATTACCCCATAGTAGGATTTAAAAGCAAATGCAAAACAAATACAAAATATGTTGTGTGTCAAATATAAAAATAAAACATGATAATAGCAACAGTAGAAATTAAGGTGGCAATAAATAGTCTTTTGTAAGTTCAAATACATGTGTGAATTACAGATTCAGTATTTATTAATCAATTACAAATGGACCCTAGAGTGGTTAAAAGAACTAAACTTTTTAGTTTAGATTTATTGAGGATGACCAAGAATTAGCGCCATGGTTTGCTTTCTTCTGTTTGCATTTTTGACTCTGGAGCTAGGACTCTGGGCTTCCCAGATAGCTCAGTTGGTAAAGAATCCACCTGCAATGCAGGAGACCCCGGTTCAATTCCTGGGTCAGGAAGATCTGCTAGAGAAGGGATAGGCTCCCCACTCCAGTATTCTTGGGCTTCTGTTGTGGCTTAGCTGGTAAAGAATCCACCTGCAATGTGGGAGACCTGGGTTCGATCCCTGGAAGATCCCCTGGAGAAGGGAAAGGCTACCCACTCCAGTATTCTGACCTGGAGAATTCCATAGACTGTATAGTCCATGGGATCGCAAAGAGTCAGACATGACTGAGCGACTTTCACTTCATTTCACTTCACGACTCTGATCTCCTGTCTGAAGGAGCTTCATCCTCCTCCCACCACAGAAACAGTCTTTAGTGACAATATTTGGAAGATGACATTTTGGATTCTCGTATTAGTGACAATCCTAAAAGATTGGAAACCTTACATTCTAAAATTAAACAGAAGTCATAAACCAGTAGGAAAGTAATGTTTGTCTTAGTTGCTCAGTAGTCTTGCCTGACTCTTTGTGACCCCATGGACTGTAGCCCACCAGGCTCCTCTGTCCATGGGACTTTTTCTCTAGGCAGGAATACTGGAGTGGGTTGCCATTCCCTTCTCTAGGGAATCTTCCCGATCCAGGGATCAAACCCGGGTCTCCTGCATGGCAGGCAGATTCTTTACCATCTGTGCCAAAAGTAAAAGTCGTAGGAAAAGAAAGTTGAAAATGCAAGGCCCTAGCTGATTATTCTTTTATATGTGAAAAACTGATTCATTTGCTTTGTGTGCCACTCTGGGTTCTCCCCGTGGACATTTCCTCATTTGGTCAGTTCCAGAGACCTCTTTAGATAGTGCCCATTTCATACGAACTGAAGACGAGTGCTTTGTTGTGGTGACCTTGCTTACAGGGTTAGAGTCTTCTGTCCTGATTCCCTAAACTCCTGGTATGAAGTGCTTTCTGGCCTCTGTGTTTGTGTGTATACTCAGAACACCTGAATATATGTCGCGCTCTGACTCTGTTTCTCTGTCCCCTTCAGGACTATTGGCTCTCTCTCCTTTACAAGCGTCTCATCGGCCCCAAAGTCCTGGCCGTGCACGTGGCTGGGCTCCAGCGGAAGCCCCGGCCAGGCCGAGTGATCCGGGACAAACTAAGGATTTATGCTCACTGCACTAACCACCACAAGTAAGTGTTCAGAGAGATGGCGCAGAAACCACCGCTGAGAATTTTAGGCCGTTTGAGAACTTCGTGCTACACTGGACCCCTTCAGGACACTGAAAACTGCTTCTGGATTCACTAGACCCGTTCTTTGCAAGTTTCAAATGATTTCTGATAAACAGTTTTTTCTCCAAGTAAAACCCCTTTCTCACACTTAGAAGAATTATTCATAAAATGTTCATAAAGATACATGCCATTTGTTTATTTACTTCTTCATCCAACAAATTTTTATTGAGCATTTTCTCTCAGCCAGTTAATGTAATGCCCAGGAGGCTTATTTGTGTGCCTATGCCTTAACCAAAACTAGAGGTATAAAACCTATTCCTAAGATATACCAGCAGAGCTGGAGGAAATAAGCCTACTTTTCTAAGATGCATGTTGGAGAGCTATACCACTAGAAACCTAACCATGTACCAGTGCATCCCAAACTGGGAGTACCCAAAGTTAGTCATGTCAGCTTTACAGCCATTTCAGTATTTTGAAAACTGTTTCAGCTATTTTAAAGGTTAGATGGTTAAATAAAATCTGGGCTTCCTTTTTTTAGGGGGCCAAACCTTGAACAGTCAGCACAGTAACGGGGATGGTTATCCTCTTTTTCATCTGAAGCTGAGGTTATCAGGGTTGTCTTTTAAGAAGTAGGAAACATAATTAGTACATAAAGTTTAGCAGATAAAAGATTTTAAAATATGAGGATCATAAGGTAAAAACTTAAAACAGAGCCTAAAGCAAAACCCACCTGACCAAATATGGCTTTCTTACATTGCTTCCAATTTAAGCAGCAGAGTAGGCAGCCCTGGAAATAAGAACCCTTTCTCTTAAGGCAGAGAAACCCTGTGTGGAGTGGGAGTGAGGAAGAAGGAAGGAAGTGCTTCCAGCCAGACCTTCATTCCAGCAAGCCTATCAGGGCCGATCACCGGCAGTGGAGAGCACAAAGAGTTCCAGTGGTCAGGTTACAACAGATGCCCCTTCCCCTCCCTGATGACAGAGGAGCCATGCCAATTAATTTATCATGATAAGATTTTTCAAAGAATCACTCTGAGCACAAGGGGACCAGGGGCCAGTTGTCTTGTCTATAGATACAAGTGCCTATTGTGGATGAGAGGAGGCTGGATTGGGCAGAGGCCAGAGGCTTTCAACGGTCCCTTTTGCTCAACAGGAAGCTCAATCCAATAGCTGACAGAGAGTGACTGCTTTATGGCCTTGGTTGGAGTTATCTGATCAACATACAAGGAAACATTGTGTTCCTTGTCTCCACCCTGGCCTTGAGGTAACCACCCAAAAAGTGGACTCCCAGCTTCAAGAGAGGAAAAGTTCTCTTGGCACCTTTTGTCTCTTTGGGGAAGCACATCAGTCTGTGCCCTTTATACTATGGCTCTGCGGACCCAGGAGAAAATGTCAGTAGCCAATCCATGGGCTTAGCAGAATCTGGGGGGTCCTCAGAGAGGTCTCCTCACTTGGTTTCATCCCAGTGTTCATCCTGATTCTCTTTGACATTCTTGTGGGAAGTTGTCACTGATGTTCTGAATATACTAGGCACTCAGGGCCAGTGCCTCATGCATTTTTGTATTATTGGTGTCCCACAGAGTGACTGGCCTGAAGAAGGTGTCAGTGAATGTTTTATGAATGAATGCAGAAACAGGGCATCAGGGCATCACTGATGCTTTATACTTCTAGCTCTCTTCCCCTTTGCTGTCACCACATTGGCCAGAAGAAAGGGATATGGTGGAGTGCATTCACCAGCATAAAATCATTCATTATATTCAATATTCTCTCTCCATCACCTGATCTCCTGTACTTTCTATGGGAAGTCATTCCAGAACCTCTCCGGGGAAACAGTGCTTCTGCCAGTTCCATCCCTCCTCCCTATTAAAAAAAAGAAAGAAAGAAACAACTTTACTAATCTATGTCACTGATGACCTTAGATTACTGGGGTGAAGGTCTTTTTGTTCTTACTAGAGAAGAAAGCCCCCAGTAGATACACTGAGCTAGCTGAGAATGAGCTGGCTGAATTTGCAGATCTCCTCCATGTCAGTGGATGTCCAGTGCCTTGGATAGATAGGCAAAAGGAGAGAAGTGTCTCTGCACTTTCTCTGTAGGAAGCCACATTCCCTGTCTGAGCCCCCTCGCCTGCCACAACATTATCAGGAAGCACTCCTGATCCACTTGGTTTATTTGTAGCCAAAGAGACTAAGGTCACAAAAACGTCCCAGAGTGGGCATGTTAGCTTCATGCTGTTCAGTCTTGACCAGTACTCCAAAAATACATATCCTTGGTCAAAACAGGGAATTGATGAGAAAGTATAAGTTTATTGATAGAATAACCCGAAAAAGGTCTTTTAAAATAGCTCCTGCGCTCAAGTGTATGTTGAACACTTGCTACGTGCCAAGCCTCTTGCCAATTATTTGCATTAGTGTAATTGTATTAAATTCCAAAGCTTCTACAATATCACATGTATATACAAATAGCAACACTAATAAAGAATTTTATATTTGGAAAGAATCTTTAGAGATCTTTGGCCTTTTGTCCTATATAACATAGAAATTCCCTTTATAGTCTCCCTGACAGTCATGAACCTCTACTTGAATACCTCACTGCTTCTCATGGCATCTCTTACATTGTGGGTCATTTCTGACCTAGTAGAGAATTGTCTTTTATGACTGATTTAAGATAACTAAGTCAGATACTCATACCAACACTAGCAGGTGCTTTTCTGCTTTCTGTTCTAGAGCCAACAAATTAGGACCTGGCAGCACAGCAGTTCTCACCCTAAGGCTTCTTATTCAGAGAACAAACAGGTTTTGACTAGGAAACAGTCTTTTTATAAACCATTCTGCTAACACAATGTATGTATCTGGGGAGGAGCTGAGATCCTTAGCCAAGTTTAGAACCAATTGGAGCCTGGTGGATCCTGAAGAAAAATTGAGTCTTTTGGGGTTCAAGTTTGTTTATTGTTGGCAAAGCACGACTTCCTGTTTTTCAGAAGAAGTTTTTTTAAAGACTCATAAAAAGGTTCCTGGGGCTTCTTGGACATCAAATGGCTCTTACAAAACAATATTTTGATGAGTTAAGTGTAAATGAATCAGAAACATGTGGATTAAATTTCCCTTAAAATACACAGGGGCTTTGAAATTGGGAAAAATATGTTTGGCAAAACATGGCCTGACTGTTACCGAACCCAAAAACTTTGAATTAGATTTGGATAAAATGGACCAATCCAGTTTTCAAATACATAGACTTTCACTGGAAATGGACATGGATTTCAAAGCATCATCCTCCCTTCCCTTTCCTAGTCTCCCAGCTTCACTGGAAATATTTCTAGAACAGGGACTGTTTTTCATCTATAAGTCAAGAGGCACCTCCCAATATGACACCCCTCACCTCTTACATCCATGATATTCCAATTCCAGCCCCCATCCTGACTCACTTCCTCCTCCTCCCATGGCAACACGGAGATGTCAGGCCACAAAAGAACAGCCGGAAAGATGAACTCCAGATACAGGCCTTTTCTGCTAGTGAAAAAGTCTCACCGTGAGTGAGACATGGAGCAAGATAGATGTTCTACCAGATAGAAAGGGGCATTAACGAGGAGAACCAAAAGCCACCTGGACTTGACGACATCAGAAGGTCAGCAGTTGCCTCCAGGCCACCCTTCAATAAGACTCCATTTTCTTAGCAAACAGATACGCCTCCAAGATTATTTTTCTGTCGGCAGAGAATGGAGATTCTTCAGGAATCTGGATTCTCAACATAGTACTTTCAGGTTGGTGCTGCATTCCCCAGCCAAGAATGTGTCTTCACAGCCAAAAGGCCTCTGCTTAATGTCCTTGCCCACCAGCCAAGCAGCAAAAAGGAATGACTGAGGGAGGTCTTCAGTGTCAGGTCCTCCCTGAGGAGTCTCCTATGACTATGAGCCCTATGGGAGCCTCCGCAAGTTGGTGTCTGAGCTGGCTTTCAGTGCTGGTTTGTCTGCCCCAGGGAACTATGGAAATGGAAATCAGACCACTGCCAAGCAGCTTGAAAAGATAGCTTTCCCTGAAGCAATGCTGTGATTTCAGGTCTCCCTCCCACCCACCACTTCCCCACATCCTGCCCTTCTCCTCTGTGGTCTCCAAGGGCTCATTCTGCCCTAACCCTGCGGAGGAGAAACTCATAAATGCAAGAACGCAGCTCTCTCCGCCTGGGCTGCTGGCCTTTGAGAAGGTTGTCTGATGATAGTTAGCAGAAGAGTTTACCACAGTCTGTGAAAATTGGTATCCTTACATGCCTATTTTCAGTCACACTTTAAAGCCTAGTTAATGGCGTCTTCCTCAGTTTTGCACACAACTTAAAGCCCACCAATGAAAATCATTTGTGTTTTTTTAATGATGGTGGTAACAGCTTTCCTGATAGCTCAGTTGGTAAAGAATCCACCTGCAATGCAGGAGACCCTGGTTCAATTCCTGGGTCGGGAAGATCTGCTGGAGAAGGGATAGGCTACCCACTCCAGTCTTCTTGGGCTTCCCTCGCGGCTCAGCTGGTAAAGAATCCGCCCACAATGTGGGAGACCTGGGTTCTATTCCTGGTTTGGGAAGATCCCATGGAGAAGAGAAAGGCAACCCACTCCAGTATTCTGGCCTGGAGAATTCCATGGACTGTGTAGTCCATGGGGTCACAAAGAGTCGAATACAATGTGACTTTCACCTTCAATAATGGTAAATGCTGACATCGGCTAGCAGCATCTTTCTTCAGGTCTCTGATGACACAAGTCCACTCAAAATAAATTGGCATTCTCTTCTGATTGAATTCATTTGGCTCCAAAAGTTGGCTCACATGCTTCAGGGGGTTGAGAAGAAGGACCAGAGGAGAAAAGACTAAATAGAAGGGTCATTTAATAATTTATCACTTAATAATTTTTCAGAATATCAATGCAGGCATCCAAAAAGCCTTGAATGCAATAATGTACCCTCCTACAGATGCAAGAAAAATCATCAGACACACAGCCAAAAGGATATACATTGGTAATTAATCACATAATCTTAACAGATTACTCTAAGCAAGTGGTTCCCAAACCAAACTCATCTGCCAAATATACTGAGATATTTTTTTTAAAATATCGATTCTCAGACACAATCACAAGTGGATTAAATGGAATGAGCCCGGAAAACTGTATTTTTTAAAATCTAAGTTATTGTGTTAACCTGATGTTGGTCACTCAACTCTTAATTAGCACCTTTAGAGGCATAGATGAGTGACTCAGAGGCTGAGGTGTGCTCTTTCTACAGAGAATGATATTTTCCTCTGGGCTCAGTTGACTTCAAGTTTCTTGGAACTCCTTCTTTGAAGGCAGGACCAGGCCATTTTTTCTATTTTCTCTCATTAACCCATCCAGAAGGGGACCTAAGGGACCCCTTAGAAACAAAGTCCTTTTTCCTACAAGAGAGAAGAAAATCATTGCAGTCTTCTTGATAATGCTAAAGGCTGTTGTGTACAAGCATGTATTTCCCTCAGGCTTCTGTACTGGGTTAAAAGGATTCTGAAACAGTGAATAGTTCTATAATCATGGAGTAGATAAAACAGCAAAAGTAGAAATCAAAAAGGTCAATAAATTTGACTACCTAAACGTTTTTTATTTTTATACATCAGAGTACAATGTAAACAAACTGAACTAGTCAAAGGAAACTGGGGGAAATTTTTCAATATACCTGAAAACAAAGGATCACTATCTTTAATAAATAAATAGTTTTAAAAAATCAATAGAAAAACAGGCAAAGGGCATGAACAGTCAGTTCACAAAGGAAGAAATGAAATGGCAAAGAGGCAAATAAGAAAAATACTGTGCCTCAGTGTGAATTTTTTAAAAATACAAATTAATACAACATTGAAATCCCATTATCACCTCTTGAGTTTGAGAGGTGATATTTTAAACCTTAAACTGTACCCTTTTAAAAGGTTATTATTAATATCTGATGTTCTTAGGGATATGTGGAAATGGGTGCTCTCACGCATAGGTGATCAGAGCAAATTGATGCAAGCTTTCTAGATAATATCAGTATTGTCAAAATGTATTAGTCAGGATAGGTGAGGTTATGCTGTGATAACTAAGGACCTGCAGATCTCCATGGCTTTCACTAAGAAAATGTATTTCTCTTGCACACTACACATCTGTCATGGCTCAGCTGTAGCTCTGCTCCATTATCATCCTCATTCCAGATCAGTAGAGCAGCTTTAATCAAGAACATTGTCAGACTTCTGGCAGAGGGAAGAGACATGGCAAAATATGAACTGCTTACTAAAGCCTCTGCCCAGAGGTTTTAACATGTCCACCCACGTTGCATTGACCAACACCAATCATGAGATCACTCAAGGCTCAACAGAGCAGGGACAAAAAAAATCTTCCCACAGGGAGGAGCCCCACTGAGAATAAAGCAGCAGATTTGATGAGGAATCATGTACTGCATTCCCTTTGCCCTAGTGTTTGCAACTTCCGGTACTTTATCTATCTGAAATAAATCATAATGTCCAAAAAGTTTATGTAAATAAAGTTCTTCATCACATAATTTATAATAGCAAAAAAATTAAAAACAACTATGTCCCCAAAGGAGGAGGCTAGTTAAATAAATTTCTACGAATGAAGAACTTAGCATTCTTTTGTGAGTAGAAGAATATATAATACAATAACATGGCAGCATGCTGAAGATGTTCATGAACTAAAAAAAAGAAAATGCTAACAATGTGATCCCAATTATGTAAAAACTGAGACATATATATGTATGTGTCAAAGAACTCAGTAAATATTTGTCAAATTATTAAACTAAAAATACTGGAAGGTTGTCAACCAAAATGTTATCATATTTTAAAACACTTGGATTATGGGGGACTTTTCTTTTTCTTCTCTGTGTTTCTCTATATTTTTCCTTTTTTTCCCAGTCAGCCTTCCATATTCAGAAAAAGACACTTTGTTTTCTAAAGTCATTGTAATATATTTAAGCAAAAACAAAAGGCCTATGGTGGGAAGTGGGTATCTTCTTTGCAGGAAACCACAGTAACAAGGCCCTTCTGTCTTTCAAAGTCTAGGATGGCCAAGAATCATGAAGTAAATGCCCTTTCCTGGGGTAGTCCTGTTCTGTGCAGCCCATAAATGATTTAGAAGCATCTAACAGACCACTGTTTTCATCTTTCCCTCTCTCTCTCTGGATATCAGCCACAACTATGTTCGAGGGTCCATTACACTTTTTATCATCAACTTGCACCGATCAAGAAAGAAAATCAAACTGGCCGGGACTCTCAGGGACAAGCTTGTGCACCAGTATCTGCTGCAGCCCTATGGACAGGAGGGCCTGAAGTCCAAGTAAGTGCCAGCCCAGAAACAGCTTAGGAGGGAGTGCAGTAGGAGCTGGGTGTGGAGGGAGTTGGATGGCCACTTTGCTGAGGGCACCAAGGTTGCTGCTAATTCACTCAGGGACTGCTTACTCCCTTTAGCACCCTGGACAAGTCCTTCCCAGCCCCTCTAGGCTTGGGGTCCCCAACAATAAACTCAAATGATGGACTAAATATATCTCAACAAGGGCATTCTTGGATTCTGGACTAGAGGACTCTGCATTATGCCAGATGATCACATTGCAAGCTATTTAGAATCCTTGGTCCCTACCCAATAAATGCTAATAGTGCCCCCAGTCATGTAACAACCAGAAACAGTGGTAGTTAAGAACCACGTCCCTTCCAGGGGTAGCATTCTGTACTACTGTAACTATTTGTCAACATCTACAAATCTTGTGGGGTAGAGCACCTCTAAAGGACAGAGCACTGGACAAAAATCAGAAGTTCAGAGATCAGGAGTCAGTTCTAATAAATTAAAAATTTGGGTTTAACTAAAAGATTTATTTGGGGTTAATTTGGATTAATTTTTAATTTAATAAAAAATAAATGTGAATAAAAACCTGGAGAAAGAAATAAAACACTGTAAGAAAAAATAAAAGTCAGTTCTGCCCCAACTTTATAACGTTGGGCACTTCTCTCTGGAACTGTTTGCTTATCTATTCTGGGAGCTCGGTAGTCTTTTCAGACTCTGTAATTATATGATTCTGTGACACTCTCTACTGCCCTCAGCCTCATCTAGAGACTCCGGCCTCTACCAACAGAAAGCAGCTCTAGGCCACCCCATCCTGGAGGGAGGCCTCCCAGGACGGACGTGAGTGCTGTACCGACTGGGAGCACTCCCATTCCACTTTTAATGTTTACCAAGTTTAACAAAGCTGTAAACTTGGAGCAGGTGGCTTGGACTCCCACAGCTGCCCACAACTATTTGCACTGTAACTGTTCGCCATTTCACTGCAACCTTGGTGGCGTGCATTTGGTTTCCAACTGTATGTGATGGGAGCAAAACACAATCTGGGAAGTCACTTACTGAGTCTCTTAGCCCACCCTGCATTTGTTATTTGCAGTCTTGGTTCACAGACTGGCTCTCTTTTCTGGCTGCGTGTCCATTACTCTCAAGCCTAACCTATGCCAGCAGAACTCTCTAGTATTTCATCCCCTCTCTCCATTTCCCAGTGGTTCACAATTGGTGTGCTGAGTTTTCTGGTCTTCATTCTACGCAGAAGACGCTGTTCTGGTTCACTTAATAACCTGGGCAAAGTCCTAATCCCTAGGCCTCAGTTTTCTCATCTGCAAAATTCAAGAGTTATATATATGGTAAAGTCCCTTCCAGCTCTGAAATTCTCGTCCTGGTCCGATCTTCTGAGGCCTGTGTGCTTAAATCTTGCACTGCCTCATGACCTGCAAAGTTACATCTGCAGAGAGGTGACTCCACAACAGTGACTGTGATAGTTCAGGGTCCTTTAGAACCCAAGATGATTAGGAGCTGAGCCTGCCCTGTGTCCGGAAGACCACGTGTACCGCATGGAAGAAACTAACCAAAGGCCTTAGTCTAACAGGCTAAGGTGTCAATCCCTGCTCTGCCACTTGCTGGCTGTATGTCTTGAGGCAAGTTACTTGATCTCTGTGAGCCTCAGTTTCTTGAGCTGTAAAACTTTTTCTGTGGAGAGGAGCAAATGAAGTCTTCTATATAAATTTCGTGACACATGGTAAATGCTCAGTAAATACTCTTTGCCTTCCTTTTCCTCACCTCAGACCTCTAGCTAGTTGAGGATGAAGAGAATAACTGCTCAACTGCTCTAAGAATGTTCTTCAAAAGTGGCATCTTCTTAGACTTTTAAGATAATATGTGGATAAGACATTTGTTAAGATTATGATAAAAAGAAACACAAAACCATGAAACATGCAGAAATGATGGCAGGTGGCATCATTTTTACGAGCTTGTTTCTCCATCACCCAAAGGCACAAACCTCTAACCCTGTTTGCCCAACTCTACATCCCTGCCACCAGGATTACAGCTCTGATGTTTGAACTGCCCACATCCTGGCCTCTGTCCTGCTTCTGTCTTTAAAGTGACTGAAGTGACTCTCAGTGGCTACTGATATGCTGCATTCCCAGTTATATGCTGTCTTGTGCCTCACCTTGTCATCATATTGTTGAGGAGCTATGTAATGGCTTTATTAGATTGTCAGAGAGGGACAGGAAAAAGAGAATTTCATTCCACAGAGGTCCTGAAGAGGAATTTGGTAACGTCAACTGAAATTAAATAGCAGTATCATGCAACTGGAAGAAGAGGGAGTTGGAACCAGGAAGTGCGGCTATAAATCCAGCTGCTACCATTTACCTGTGTGACCTCAGCTTGCTCACCTGTCAGACGAGGTTATTGTGAGAATCAAGTTAGAGCATATGGGTGAAATGAAGCCTTCTACAAATAAAAATTTCACACATCCATGCATACAGATACATATATAACCACAGACACTCACATGATTATACATATATTGTATTAAAGAGAGTTTGGGATTGAAAGTCTACAAAACTGGATTCCAGCCCTAATCCTGCCACTGCTTCACTGTGGGACTTCAGGCCCTTCACTCACATCTCCAAGCAGGTTCCTCTTCCTGTGAGCGACTGCTCATTTAATACCTCTCCGATTCTAGAGAGAACATGCTGCACCATCTCTGACTGTAGGCTGCCAGACAGGGACTGCCATGTACATGCTCAGAACCCGCACCCTACTGTCCTGCTCAGTAACTGCTAATAAGAGCAGGAGCCCTCAGTGGTTCTGGAATGTGGGTCTCACAGGAAAGGTGCCGTTTCAGTGCAGCAAGCTCTGCAGAAAAGGATGAAAGGAAATGCTAGGAAGTGATTTCAGCTCTTTGGTGTCTCCTTCTCTGTTTTATAAGCCTCTGGGGCCAGATTCTGTGTTCTTGGCCTGCTAATTCCTGCTGTTGCCTGAAGCCATGTTAGTTCAGAGCAGGGATGGAAAGCTCTGGGAACCTGTAGCTGCTCCTGTCAGTAGCAACCAGGAAAAGGATATAAAGCAAATCAGTGCACCAGTCAGGCTACCAGTTGGGGCCTTCTGGCCTGGGGCTTTAGGAGCAGGGAGATACTGGCAAACTTTTTCAATTAGTAGAGAACATGGGGTAATTCTCCTTCTCTTAGAATTGCCATCAAGGCTGGAAATAATTCAGATCTTTGAAAGGGTAGTGGCATGTGAACTTGGGGCACTGGGACGTCAGGTATTCTATAGGTAACACCCTTGAGGCCACTCAAAATGCGTAGTCCAGGCATCCAGGTCCTTAGCGAAGGTTCCTGTTTCTCATCTCCATGAGCAAAGTAGTCAAGAGACCCACCACTCAAATCTCAACTCTTTAGGTAAGAGATTGTTCTCACTCTAGGAACCAGACAAAAAGTGAGTGCCCTGTACCCTATGGGATAGAAGCAGGGAAACTTAGAAAACTGCGGTGTGGATCAGAGAAGGGTGTTCTGTGTCTGGAGTGTATATTCTTCAAGGATGACTGAAGAAAATGGGGAGATTTGATTTAGATAAGAACAATAAGGTAACTTGTGAGGACTTTCTTTGGATATTCAAAGGGCTGCTAAGTGAAAGGAAACAGATTTGGCCTAGGATCCTCTAAAATGACAGAAAACCAGGAACTACAATTTAAAAAAGAAAGAGCTCACCGCAAAATGAGCTCATTTTTCAAAGGCTTGCCTGGTTTAACTGGGGACAAGACAGGCTTCCTTAGGAGGTAGACTATTAATCAAAGAACAAGCAACATGGCCATCTCAGGGGTGCTTTAAGATTCCTTACTCAGTGGGAGGTTGAGGTGAAAGATTACTGCTTCCCATCAAACTCTAAGATTCTATTATTCTCTTCCATTCCCCTCCCCTCAACCCCCACTTCACTTTTGGAGCCTATATGGTCACCAGGAGAGTAGCTTCTTCAAGCCATCAAAAAGGCCACACAAAGAAACAATGCTATGAGAGAAAGAGGTGGTAATACCAGGTCAGTTCTTTTCAAAAAAATCTCCAGCTGCAGGTCCTTCCCCTGTCATTTTCACTGCTTTCTCATCTTTCTGAAGGAAAGATTAGCCATTCACACCTAAGACAGTAATGGTTCCCCCTCTAGGTAAGTCTAACAGCACCTTTGGCGCAGCTCTACCATACACTAGGGAATCTGCCCAATGCCTCATGTGATCACAAATCAATGAACATCATCCTCTAGGAAATCATCTCTCCTAAGACATAAATATCTCCAATGCCTTTCAATAAACAGGAAGGCAACATAAAGTTGGGTCATAGAAGGCAAGTTGTATCAAAAAACAGGAGGACTCAAACCAGGACTCTGTAACAATTTAGAGGAAGTAGGATGAGGTGGGGGGTGGGGGGTAGTTTCAAGAGGGAGGGGACATATGTATACCTATGGCTGATTCATGTTGATGTTTGGCAGAAACCAACACAATTCTGCAAAGCAATTATCCTTCAATTAAAAAGTAAATTAATTAAAAAAAACAACAGGAGGAGGACTCACTTTGTAGGGGAAAGTCAAACCAGGAACAGGTATTTGGTCAGATCCCAGCATTTTCCCCTATGTGTCGTATTCAGTTCCATTTGGAGGGAGAATGATCCAAAAATTGGAAAAGAAGGAAACAACTTTCATCACGCTGGCTCTTCTATTCTGACACATTGATGCTGAGAAACCTGGGGTGGGATAACGTTTTGAGGTGGTCTGGTTCACTCCCCTGCCCTCAGTCTGTGACTGGGACATCTGGACCAGAGATGCCCTATGTCTAAAGACCCCTAGGAAGGGAGTGCCCACAGTTTCAATCCGGTCTGAACATTGAGTTTTGTAAGAACACTGGGGCCATCTGTGCCTGTGACTGGGACTTTATAGATAATAACAGCACCATGAAGCATTTTAGAGTTGAAGAAACTGAATTTTAGGGCCTTAAGTGACTTATTGAAGAG